GCAACGCAACTGGTAACTACAGGGCGCCTTAATCCGCTTGACCATCACGGCCGTCAAAAGGAAGTGATAGCCGAGGCTATTTGAGCCACTTCCCCGACGGCAACTCGAATGGTAATCTTGGGCATAGCATTTCACCAAATCACCTCATTCTTTGGGGCACACGTGAGGAACACAAATGCGAACAAGCCTGAATGGTCCCCAGGACTATATGCGAATGAAAACTCACACCCCAGAAGTGACTCGAACCCATACTCCCAGAAGCAACGCAACTGGTAACTACAGGGCGCCTTAATCCGCTTGACCATCACGGCCGTCAAAAGGAAGTGATAGCCGAGGCTATTTGAGCCACTTCCCCGACGGCAACTCGAATGGTAATCTTGGGCATAGCATTTCACCAAATCACCTCATTCTTTGGGGCACACGTGAGGAACACAAATGCGAACAAGCCTGAATGGTCCCCAGGACTATATGCGAATGAAAACTCACACCCCAGAAGTGACTCGAACCCATACTCCCAGAAGCAACGCAACTGGTAACTACAGGGCGCCTTAATCCGCTTGACCATCACGGCCGTCAAAAGGAAGTGATAGCCGAGGCTATTTGAGCCACTTCCCCGACGGCAACTCGAATGGTAATCTTGGGCATAGCATTTCACCAAATCACCTCATTCTTTGGGGCACACGTGAGGAACACAAATGCGAACAAGTCCTGGGGACCATTCAGGCTTGTTCGCATTTGTGTTCCTCACGTGTGCCCCAAAGAATGAGGTGATTTGGTGAAATGCTATGCCCAAGATTACCATTCGAGTTGCCGTCGGGGAAGTGGCTCAAATAGCCTCGGCTATCACTTCCTTTTGACGGCCGTGATGGTCAAGCGGATTAAGGCGCCCTGTAGTTACCAGTTGCGTTGCTTCTGGGAGTATGGGTTCGAGTCACTTCTGGGGTGTGAGTTTTCATTCGCATATAGTCCTGGGGACCATTCAGGCTTGTTCGCATTTGTGTTCCTCACGTGTGCCCCAAAGAATGAGGTGATTTGGTGAAATGCTATGCCCAAGATTACCATTCGAGTTGCCGTCGGGGAAGTGGCTCAAATAGCCTCGGCTATCACTTCCTTTTGACGGCCGTGATGGTCAAGCGGATTAAGGCGCCCTGTAGTTACCAGTTGCGTTGCTTCTGGGAGTATGGGTTCGAGTCACTTCTGGGGTGTGAGTTTTCATTCGCATATAGTCCTGGGGACCATTCAGGCTTGTTCGCATTTGTGTTCCTCACGTGTGCCCCAAAGAATGAGGTGATTTGGTGAAATGCTATGCCCAAGATTACCATTCGAGTTGCCGTCGGGGAAGTGGCTCAAATAGCCTCGGCTATCACTTCCTTTTGACGGCCGTGATGGTCAAGCGGATTAAGGCGCCCTGTAGTTACCAGTTGCGTTGCTTCTGGGAGTATGGGTTCGAGTCACTTCTGGGGTGTGAGTTTTCATTCGCATATAGTCCTGGGGACCATTCAGGCTTGTTCGCATTTGTGTTCCTCACGTGTGCCCCAAAGAATGAGGTGATTTGGTGAAATGCTATGCCCAAGATTACCATTCGAGTTGCCGTCGGGGAAGTGGCTCAAATAGCCTCGGCTATCACTTCCTTTTGACGGCCGTGATGGTCAAGCGGATTAAGGCGCCCTGTAGTTACCAGTTGCGTTGCTTCTGGGAGTATGGGTTCGAGTCACTTCTGGGGTGTGAGTTTTCATTCGCATATAGTCCTGGGGACCATTCAGGCTTGTTCGCATTTGTGTTCCTCACGTGTGCCCCAAAGAATGAGGTGATTTGGTGAAATGCTATGCCCAAGATTACCATTCGAGTTGCCGTCGGGGAAGTGGCTCAAATAGCCTCGGCTATCACTTCCTTTTGACGGCCGTGATGGTCAAGCGGATTAAGGCGCCCTGTAGTTACCAGTTGCGTTGCTTCTGGGAGTATGGGTTCGAGTCACTTCTGGGGTGTGAGTTTTCATTCGCATATAGTCCTGGGGACCATTCAGGCTTGTTCGCATTTGTGTTCCTCACGTGTGCCCCAAAGAATGAGGTGATTTGGTGAAATGCTATGCCCAAGATTACCATTCGAGTTGCCGTCGGGGAAGTGGCTCAAATAGCCTCGGCTATCACTTCCTTTTGACGGCCGTGATGGTCAAGCGGATTAAGGCGCCCTGTAGTTACCAGTTGCGTTGCTTCTGGGAGTATGGGTTCGAGTCACTTCTGGGGTGTGAGTTTTCATTCGCATATAGTCCTGGGGACCATTCAGGCTTGTTCGCATTTGTGTTCCTCACGTGTGCCCCAAAGAATGAGGTGATTTGGTGAAATGCTATGCCCAAGATTACCATTCGAGTTGCCGTCGGGGAAGTGGCTCAAATAGCCTCGGCTATCACTTCCTTTTGACGGCCGTGATGGTCAAGCGGATTAAGGCGCCCTGTAGTTACCAGTTGCGTTGCTTCTGGGAGTATGGGTTCGAGTCACTTCTGGGGTGTGAGTTTTCATTCGCATATAGTCCTGGGGACCATTCAGGCTTGTTCGCACATATATATATACATATATATATATATATATATATATATATATATATATATATATATATATATATATATATATATATATATGTAATATATCCCCATTGCTTCTGAGACACTCGGCGCCTTGAAACAACAAAAGACCAACTTCCTTTTCCAACGCCTCAGCGTGGCGATACAGAGGGGAAATGCACACTGCATTCAGGGGTTCCTGCCCGCCATCTGAGGAGCTGGAGGAACTCGACAACTTATGATAATCATCTTTGTCCCCTATATGTAACTCCTTTTTTGTAACAAAGTTTAAATAAAACGAATATATATGTATATATCCAAAAGAATAGGGGTGGTAGGAGAAGAAAATATTAAAGTGTTCAGTGAGAATCCACAAGGTCTTCTCTGAATACTCTTTATTTTCTTCTCCGAGGGTCGGTCACCTGGTGTGTTACACTGAGGGATGGTCACCTTGTGTGTTACACTGATTCTACGATCAGGTGATAAAGATTAAGCAAGAAAAGGAAGGTTGTGCAGACTGCATCTTCTTTGACTGTCGGAAAGCATTTGACACAGTACCCCGTAAGAGACTGGGGCATATGTTGGAGAAACAGGCAGCAGGAGTAACTGGTAGGGCGCTCCAGTGGATAAGGGAATACCTAAGCAATAGGAAGCAGAGAGTTATAGTGAGGGGCGAGACCTCAGATTGGCAAGAAGTCACCAGTGGAGTCCCACAGGGTTCTGTACTTGGTCCTATCCTGTTTCTGATATACGTAAATGATCTTCCAGAGGGTATAGACTCATTCCTCTCAATGTTTGCTGACGATGAAAAAATTATGAGAAGGATTAAGACAGAGGAGGACAGCATGAGGCTTCAAGAAGACCTAGACAAACCGAAGGAATTGTCCAACAAATGGGTGTTAGAGTTTAACACGAGAAAATGTAATATAATGAAGATAGGTGTAGGAAGCAGGAGGCCAGATACAAGGTATCATTTGGGAGATGAAATTCTTCTAGTATAAGAGAGAGAGGAAGAGCTGGGGGTTGATATCACGCCAGACCTGTCCCGTGAAGCCCACATCAAGAGGATAACCTCAGCGGCATATGCCAGGTTGGACAATATAAGAACGGTCTTTAGAAACTTAGGTAAGGAATCATTCATAACCTTGAATACCACGTATGTCAGACGAATCCTGGAATATGCAGCTCAAGCATGGAGTCCATATCCCGTCAAGCATAAAATTAATTGAAGAATGTTCAGAGGTTTGCCACCAAACTAGTGCCCGAACTGAGGGGCATGAATTATGAGGGGGGGAACTACGGGAATTAAACCTCACGTCGCTGGAAGACAGGAGTTAGGGGGAGGGGACATGATCACCACATACAAGATTCTCAAAGGAATTGATAGGATAGACAAAGACAGGCTATTTAACGCAAGGGGCACACACACTAGGGTACAGGTGGAAATTGAGTGCCCAAATGAGCGATAAAGACATTAGAAAGAATTGTTTTAGAGTCAAGAGTAGTTAATAAATGAAATGCATTAGTAAGTGATATGGTGAAGGCTGACTCGATACACAGTTTCATGTGTAGATATGATAGAGCCCAATAGGCTCAGGAACCTGTACACCTGTTGATTAAGGCGGGACCAGAGAGCCGAAGGTCAACCCCCAGAAGCACAACTAGGTGAGTACTGAGGGACGGTCACCTCGCAACCCATCTATCTTGAGATGATTTCGGGGCTTTATTGTCCCCGCGGCCCGGTCCTCGACCAGGCCTCCACCCCCAGGAAGCAATCCGTGACAGCTGACTAACACACAGGTACCTATTTTCAGTAATGCTAGGTAACAGGGGCATAGGGTGAAAGAAACTCTGCCCATTGTTTCTCGCCGGCGCCTGGGATCGAACCCAGGACCACAGGATCACAAGCCCAGCGTGCTGTCCGCTCGGCCGACCGGCTCCCTTATCACCTCACATTTTGACACATACTTTACCTAAGGCCAAAAACTGTCGTATGAAGTACGGTAGCGGCTCGCCATATTGACATTATGTCCAGTTTTCTGTTCGCGGGTCCTCTGGTAGGTTAGGATAAGGCACTTTAGTACGACAGATTCCTAACGTTGGGAAGGCTGACGAGACGAGGCTGCACCTCGCGTGTAACATTAACATCAATTATATAATCAGACACTACGCACTTAGCTCATTCAGTGTGTAAATATTGTGTTTAGTCTTTGTTATTATACTTTGCTATCATATCGCCTTTTACCTGGTGAACCTAGTAGCCTAGCCTAGTGGCTAGTAGCTAGTAGCCTAGTGAACCTAGTAGCCTAGTGGACCAAACTCTCACAAGTCAAGCCTGGCCTCGGGCCGGGCTTGGGGAGTAGAAGAACTCCCAGAACCCCATCAACCAGGTATCAACCAGGTAACCTGTCAAGTGATGACTCAGGGGGGAGGGGTAGCTTACCTGGATGGGGGGACCGGGCATCTGCTTGTTGATAACAACAATCCGCCGCTTGACACCGTCCCCAGGGATACACTCCGGCCTTCCGCAGTCCGTCGCGTTCTTAGGGCACCCGTAGCAAGCCCTGAAAACACACACACACACACACGTTAGTTTGTCTCATATCCTCCCAGTGATTAATGTACTTGCCTGTGCTTACATATATATATATATATATATATATATATATATATATATATATATATATATATATATATATATATATATATATATATATATATATATATATAGCCAGCCAATTAATGCACAACTATATTCTACCCACCTCAAGACTCCGCTCCAATATAGAAGCATCAAGAAATATGGACCAATAGGCTTTCTACAAACACTTCTATTCAATACCCATTGTTTCGTGTTCTGTCTTGTGTTGATGAAATTAATACCCTATTAATGCCACCTCTTGTTCTGTCTTGTGTTGATGAAATTAGTACCCTATTAATGCCACCTCACCCCATCCACCTCACTCAAATGTAGATATAAAATCGGAGATGCGTAAGTTCTATTCAGTTGTGTATTTGTAAACTAAAGACTTTGAAAATGTAATAAGTTTTACGAAACGCGCTCGTGTCGCGTCAGACTAGAAATAAAAATAAATTTTGGAGAATTGATTTTTGATTTACCTCCAACAGTGAAAAGAAATGTACAGTGAAAAGTAAATATACTAATATATATATATATATATATATATATATATATATATATATATATATATATATATATATATATATATATATATATATATATATATATTATATACCCGTCCTCATAGTGGTAGTGGTCCTATATTTTTGTTAAGTTATTGACCTACTTTCAAGATAATAATATAACTTTTTGAGTGTGGGCCCATTGGAGATGCACTGTTAGATAAGTTGTTCACGGGGGTAATATGTGAAGTTATCATGCTGGGGTTGTTATTGTACACGGGAGTAGTTTGTGTAAGTTATCATGCTGCGAAATAATTATAATAATAATAATAAGACACGGAGTGTGTTATCAGAGGAAGATCTCACCTGGACATCGTCTGGTAAGCATGAACGTCGAAGTGGAAATGACAGGTTCGTGTGTCTCCTTCCACACATTTTCTATAGCAGTTCTTGCCTGAAGAAGGAAATACGAAGTAATGTTAAGTAGTCACTTTGGGGAGAGGAGAGTTATTTTTCAAACATATGTTTAGTCAAATAGTTCACTGCAGATTTTAACAGTTTTGCATCAGTCAAGGGATGACAATTGCGACCCCGTCCTTGACAGGTATGAGAGAGGTGACTGACCTGGCGTGACAGGCTCGTGGGCGGTGATGACAGAGGTGAGGGTGGCGATGGCGGCAGCAAGGACCAGAGCCACCATGGTAGCGGCGGCGACAGCACTCAACTGACACACCGCCATGCTGGATGTGTCTTATATACCCTCCGCCGCTCCTCCGCCGCCCTCCTGATGGACTAACACACATTTATCACTATTATACAACTAGCATCACCATCTACAATACAATACCTGGGAAATACACAAACGAATTGGAAGCGTGTACTAAAATATGCTCCAATTGTATAGATACGCCTCCGTACTTGTAGAAATGAAGACATAAAATGAACAGACAATATGTATGAAAGAAGTGCTTGACAATTCTGCAAATTGCTTGCCAACAGTTTCATCTTTATCGACCTTGCAGATCACTGGCAATTATCAGTACGTATGTGTGTGTAGAGACAGGGGTTATAAGGACATTTACCATTGCCAGGACCCAGGCCATGCAGAACACAACAATAACTTGCTGCACACGACCAATAACTGGCCTGCCAACTGGTTCTCGCTGACTCATTAAGGGAATTCCTTGGGAAGTCCCAAGCAGGTTCCTTTTCTCCCTCTTCCCTTTCTCCCTCTCCCTCTTCCCTTTCTCTCTCTCTCTCTCTCTCTCTCTCTCTCTCTTTACTTTACAATGTTTACTATTGTCCCTGCGTGAACATTACCCAAGAGCAACGCCAATTCAATGCCGAATCAACTCCACAGAGAACAGGCCTCGACGCCGATTCTGTGCGAATAATTATTATAACTATAATAATTATTAACTCATTAATGTGAGACAAATTACTTCAGTGTTGTAGATTATGTTTCACTGATGGCGACTCTTGTGCCACTCTTGACCTGGAATATGTTTTAACTGATTGAGTTGTTCCTTGCTGGTTCTTACGTCTCGCATCTGCACTGCTATCTTGAGGTTATCTTGAGATGATTTCGGGGCTTTAGTGTCCCCGCGGCCCGGTCCTCAACCAGGCCTCCACCCCCAGGAAGCAGCCCGTGACAGCTGACTAACACCCAGGTACCTATTTTACTGCTAGGTAACAGGGGCATAGGCTGAAAGAAACTCTGCCCATTGTTTCTCGCCGGCGCCTGGGATAGAAACCAGGACCACAGGATCACAAGTCCAGCGTGCTGTCCGCTCGGCCGACCGGCTCCCTGCATACAACGCTGCGCTAACACGTACATATACAGCTTCCTCTTACTCAGGATCAGGTCAACCTCAACACTCAACCTGTGGCATAGACAAAGTTGGCAAGATCAACCTGGCAGACAAAGATGACGAAAGCAAACTGGTTTCGAGCAAGTGTAACAGTGATAGGATACAGTACACTCACATGATTATGGAGCCTTCGAACGTGATGCATATGACAGATGGAAAAGAAATTTAACTTAGAAACGAAGAAAGTACAAGAAGACAGGCTATAGAAGATCTGGTAGGAGATAAAAGGCTGTCTACAGGTTACACAGTACTACTGGGGTGACTTGGCACCTCCTTCTCCCTGCTTATTATACGTCGGAGACCAGAGAGAACTGTCTGACAGCTGCCGGAGAATAGCCGACCAGCCCAGATAATTGCGGAAAGAATAACAGTGCGCATATACCCAATAGTATCCAAGCTCGGATACCGAACAGTTTCCAAGCAGTTACTTGCACTAGTGCTTAACTCACTCGCGTATCCCTAATTTTTTAAGGCTGGAATAAATGTCACCTCTGGTTATGTCCAATCTCATGGTGGCTGGCAATATGAGATGTGATGTATGGTAGCCAACCGCTGATCATATATATATATGCAAGGAAGAACAATCATCGTGTTAATTTGGGATTATCTCATGATTCCCGCCAGAGGGAGAAGCTGAGATGCAGCAACCAGCTATTTTATAGAAGGTCAAACACAGGAAAAACCACCGCCCCGGGCGCCCTTTTTTCTATCCTTACACCAACCCTCCTCCCCCCACACCCACACGCATTGGGGTCTGGTAGCTGAGTGGACAGCGCGCGAGACTCGTAATCCTGTGGCCCGGGTTCAATTCCCGGAATAGCCAGAGACAAATGGGCAGAGTTTCTTTCACCCTGATGCCCCTGTTACCTAGCAGTAAATAGGTACCTGGGAGTTAGACAGCTGTTACGGGCTGCTTCCTGGGCGTGTGTGAAAAAAATTGTTAGTAATTAGTAACAGTTGATTGATTGACAGTTGTGAGGCGGGCCGAAAGTGCAGAGCTCAACCCCCCCGCAAGCACAACTAGGTGAATACCTACCCCTAACCTTGAGCGACCTCTCCTCACCCCCCACACACCAGAACGCACTCCACCTCCCCTCACATCTCCCCCACACCCCACATACTCCTAACCTTGAGCGACCTCCCCTCACCCACACACACCAGAACGCACTCCACCTCCCCTCACATCTCCCCCACACCCCACATACTCCTAACCTTGAGCGACCTCTCCTCACCCACACACACCAGAACGCACCCCACCTCCCCTCACCCATCACCAGAGGGGGAAGGCCCTGACAGAGATTGGTGGGAGTGGAAAGTCCTGATGGGAGGAGCCGGGGCAGCGCCGCCCGTGCACCAGTCACAATCAGCACAGTGAGGACACCCAAAACGTTCCCAGTCACGGGCGGCGGAGTTCAGCTCCAGAGTATCACCAACACTTACCTCAATCTGACAAAGCACTCGGGCAAGCAAGCAAGCAAGCAAGAAGAACACCCGTGGATGCCCCAAAACACTCAGGCAAGCAGGCAAGCAAGAAGAACACCCGTGGATGCCCCAAAACACTCAGGCAAGCAGGCAAGCAAGAAGAACACCCGTGGATGCCCCAAAACACTCAGGCAAGCAGGCAAGCAAGAAGAACACCCGTGGATGCCCCAAAGCACTCAGGCAGGCAAGCAGGCAAGAACACCCGTGGATGCCCCCAGACAGGCTCTCGGACCTGCTACAAGAGGTGAGATAGTAACTGTATATTGATAATTACTCTCCATACACTTTATAAATAATATTTTATTTACAGGTTTCAATTAATTAAAGATAAAAATGTACGCTTCCACTTACCACGGAAGGCGCTCAACATGTATTCACCTAGTTGTGCTTGCTGGGGTTGAGCTCCGTTCTTTCGGCCCGCCTCTCAACTGTCAATCAACTGTTACTAACTACTTTTTTCTTCCACACACACACACACACACAATCAGGAAGCAGCCCGTGACAGCTGACTAACTCCCAGGTACCTATTTACTGCTAGGCAACAGGACCATTAGGGTGAAAGAAACTCTGTCCATTGTTTCTCGCCGGCGCTCGGAATCGAACCCGGGACCACAGGATCACGCGTCCAGCGTGCTGTCTGCTCAGCCACCGGCCCCCTGATGGGGTGGGGGGGCGATAACTCGGTCATTTAAACTGTATGGAACTTATTTAATTAAAAAGGATTATACACTAATTTTTATCACGATTAGATTTAGCTTTATGAACAATACAAGCTTTTCCCAGCTTGAAGAAAACAATAGCTTTGACCAGCTATTATTTATCAGCCTAGAAACAATAAATATTATGTCACGGGCTGCTTCCTGGGGGTGGAGGCCTGGTCGAGGACCGGGCCGCGGGGACACTATAGCCCCGAAATCATCTCAAGATAACCTCAGAAGCTTTAGCCAATTAAAAAGTAAGCCTTCGTCAGTTTAAAACTTAATCAATAACTCTGACCAGTTCTTAATAACAAACTCTTAACCTATATACACCTGTACATTATCATCAACCATAAAAATATATTTCCAGGTATACCTGGTTGATACCTGGTTGATACCTGGTTGATACCTGGTTGATACCTGGTTGATACCTGGTTGATGGGGTTCTGGGAGATCTTCTACTCCCCAAGCCCGGCCCGAGGCCAGGCTCGACTTGTGAGAGTTTGGTCCACCAGGCTGTTGCTTGGAGCGGCCCGCAGGCCCACATACCCACCACAGCCTGGCTGGTCCGGAACTTCTTGGAGGCAACAATCTAGTTTCCTCTTGAAGATGTCCACGGTTGTTCCGGCAATATTTCTTATGCTCGCTGGGAGGGTGTTGAACAACCGCGGACCTCTGATGTTTATACAGTGCTCTCTGATTGTGCCTATGGCACCTCTGCTCCTCACTGGTTCTATTCTGCATTTTCTTACATATCGTTCACTCCAGTATGTTGTTATTTTACTGTGTAGATTTGGGACCTGGCCCTCCAGTATTTTCCACGTGTATATTATTTGATATCTCTCTCGTCTCTTTTCTAGTAAGTGCATTTGGAGGGCTTTGAGACGATCCCAATAATTTAGGTGCTTTATCTCGTCTATGCGTGCCGTATATGTTCTCTGTATTCCCTCTATTTCAGCAATCTCTCCTGCTCTGAAGGGGGAAGTGAGTACTGAGCAGTACTCGAGACGGGACAGCACAAGTGATTTGAAGAGTACAACCACTGTGATGGGATCCCTGGATTTGAAAGTTTCGAAATCCATCCTATAATTTTTCTGGCTGACGCAATATTTGCTTGGTTATGCTCCCTAAACGTTAGGTCGTCAGACATCATTACTCCCAAATCCTTTACATGCTGTTTTCCTACTATGGGCACATTTGATTGTGTTTTGTTCCCTGTATTATGTTTAAGGTCCTCATTTTTGCCGTATCTGAGTATCTGGAATTTATCACTGATAAACATAATGTTATTTTCTGCTGCCCAGTCGAAAACTTTGTTAATATTAATATCTGCTTCAAGTTTTTTCAATGTCTTCGGCAGAGGTAATTTTCATGCTGATTTTTGTGTCATCTGTAAAGGATGATACGAAGCTGTGACGAGTATTTTTGTCTATATCTGATATGAGAATAAGGAACAGCAGCGGTGCAAGGACTGTACCCTGAGGTACAGAGCTTTTAACTGCACTTGGACTAGATTTTATATGGTTGACCGTTACTCGCTGAGTCCTGTTTGACAGAAAACTGAGTATCCAGCGTCCTACTTTACCGGTTATTCTCATTGACTTCATTTTGTGTGCTATCACGCCATGGTCACATTTATCGAAAGCCTTTGCGAAGTCCGTGTATACCACATCCGCATTCTGTGTTTCTTCTAATGGCTCAGTGACTTGTCGTAATGATCAAGTAGCTGTGAGAGGCACGA